TACAAATTTGAGCCTATGCTGCTTTCCTCCTCAAACCAAAGCCACCAAATCGAGGTCACGTATTAGCATGACTGAATGAATGTCAACGTTTGTGCCACTGTGTTACATCAAATCGACTGAGCTGGGTTGTGCCTTGCAACATGTCCTCGTAGTCTGCTCAAATCGCGTTTCACTGCCAAATGGTCAACTTCTGTCTGATGGCTTAGCTGAGAAGCACTGGTGGAAGTTGTACAGCTGTCGTGTCAAGACAGGTCGCGGTGTTTGTCTGTTACATTGGTTGTATCCCCTGTGTGTGGCATCTAACCACAGGCGATTCGCACATTTCTTTTTCTCTGGGAAGAGAGTAGATGTAGGCAGCACAATCGTTGTCTAACGCAGTACTCAATACATGCAAAACTAGTCAGACGCTTGTTATAATCTAGTAGTGTGATGATGATTTTACAGCGTCGGCGTACAAACAAATTTGCCTGTTGCGTCACAGAGCGTGTAGGGTACAAGACACCAAGTACAGCTGTGTCACATATTTGGTTCCTCGCCCGAATTGTGAATCGTGTTGTGTCAAGCTTTCCCCAAAGTTTTTCCACTAACACGCTGTTAACACGATATTCTCGTTCGCTTAATTTTTTTGATGACCCCGACGTTTACAGTGGTCAGAATCAACCTTTTACTAATGTAGGAGGAATATGCATAAAGCAACCACTGTTCCAGCCAGATTCTGTTACTAGTTGGTTTGCCATCTCGGAATTGCAATTTCACGGAGCTAACGTCACCAGTCGGCATGCAAAATACTCACGTCTTGTAACAGCTCTGGCCAATGAGTTGGCAGAGACGTTATCGGCAATGCTAAATGCTTGCCACCAGTGGCATAACGTGGAATATTTTAAACCAACCACCATTGCATAACTGGGGAATCTGATCGATGGTTCAACAACTAGTGATGTCATCAGGTTCATGAATGAGAAATACAACTGGAGGTCTTGACTAGCAAGTCAGTGTTTCACAAGATGTCAGGACCGTTCACCAGGTTGACTTATGCATTGTGGATGGAAGAGGGAGTAGGGTGTGTCGCTTCGTATAGCGAACGCACTTACGAAACTCTGCTCCTGATGCAGGTGTACACA